GGATGACCTCAGAACCAGCTGCATTGAGGTCCTCCCCTGAGTCCTCCAGAGAAAAGCCATCAGGATGGAAAACAAAGCCCCCAGCACACTCTTTCTCTACCAGCACACCCGTGCCTTCCCCTCTTTCCCCAGGGTCTCACTCTCTCCTGAGCACAAGGTGCGTTTTCCTTGCTCGTCTCTTTCTCTGAAGCTCCCAGGGCCACTCTTTTGCCTCTGTAACTTGTTTCCTGGGCCCACTTCTTCTGCAGCTCACTTCTTCTACCTCTTTGTCTCTCTAAATACATTCCTTCTTATCATTTGAGTCTTGGCTCTGAATTCTTCTCTTAGCCAGAACCCATGAACTGAGTTTGCTGAACTGAGGTCTAACACCTGGGGCCGTTTTTGCTGACAACAATCCCAAAGCCCCTGGCACCATGACACCAATGTCACCTACCAATTGACCTTACTGAGGTCCCATGTGACCACAGAAATATCCATTCAGCTCATTGTCTCCTATGAGTTTGGGCCACAACTTCTGGGTTATTGTGAGTAATAACAAGAGAGTCAGGGTCTGAGACAAATGGAACTGAGGACTGGATTCCAACAGGGACAGGGGGCCAAGAGGACGCTAAAATGGAAACTAACTTCAAAACTGAAGAGGAACATATTGCCTTCTGAATTCAGATGCTCCACAGAACCTGACCATAGGTGTCTTCTGTGGAAATAATACAGGCAGGAGAGACCTTCTCCTTTGCAATGCTGTGATGGAGGGACGAGGTGTCCACAGCACCTCAGAATAGAGCTCAAATATCAGAGCTTGAATGGTAGCAGGGCTGAGATCAGAAATGTAGAGTAAAGATATTAGAAAGCACCCTAGATCCTGTCCCCAATTATCAGCCCCTGCTCTCACTACCATAACAAAGACCTTCTTGTCAAATCTTATGGAGACTTTGCATCCTCACTTCTATGGGTCACTTGGAGGGATATTTTGTTTTGGCAGCTGATTTCTTCTTAAACTTCTCAGCTTCCTCCCCAAGAGCCACATTCAAAGATCAGACGTTGCCTTTGAAGACCCCTCTTGGTCCTATCTCTTCACCCAGCCTCACCTCTTTAGTTGACAATACTTTCACTTTAATTATTTTCCCCTGGCAATTTATTTGCCTGGTCTCATATATTCAAAGGGTTCAAAAGAGCATGTAGTAGAATGTACCTCTGCTCCTCACCCCAGTTTCCTAGTTTTCTTCACTCAAGTCATTCATTCTAAACTGTATCTTATGTGTTTATCCAGAGATATTTATGCATATATAAGGATATTTCTATATCTATCTCTATGTGTAGATATAAATATAGATTTTGCATGAGCATTTTTTGTGTCTTTTTTTAAGACATGAAGCATTCTACATACATTGTTTTGCATCTCGTTTTCTAAATTAACAATAATTATTGAAAATCTTTCCATGTTACTAGATAAATAACGTCATCCATTTTTTTTTACAACTGCAAAGTATTCCAGGGCACATGTGTACTTCTTAATCTTTTCACCTTTTTCATCCATCTCCCCTCCCATCTGGTAACCATCAAAATGTTGTCTGTATCTGCGTATCTGTTTCTGTTCAGCTTGTTTGTATTCTTTGTTTTATAGATTCAATGATTGATAGATGTGTATTTATTGCCATTTCATTGTTTATATTTTTTATCTTTTCTTTTTTCTTCTGAAAAAACACCCTTCAACATTTCATATAATACTAGTTTGATAATGATGAACTCTGGCTTTTTCTTGTCTGGGAAGCTCTTTATATGTCCTTCAATTCTAAATGATAGCTTTGCTGGGTAAAGGAATCTTGGTTGTAGGTCCTTGCTTTTCATCACTTTGAATATTTCTTGCCACTCCCCTCTGGCCTGCAAAGTTTCTGTTGAGAAATCAGCTGACAGTCCTGTGGGAGCTCCCTTGTAGGTAACTGCTTTTTTTCTTGATGCTTTTAAGATTCTCCATTTTCTTTAACCTTTGCCATTTTAATTATGATGTGTCTTGGTGTGGGCCTCTTTGGGTTCATCTTATTTGGGACTCTCTGTGCTTCCTAGACTTGTATGTTTATTTCCTTTACCAGGTTAGGAAAATTTTTCTGTCATTATTTTTTCAAATAGGTTTTCAATTTCTTGCTCTCTCTCTTCTCCTTTTGGCAATTCAATAATGAGAATGTTGGTATGCTTGAAGTTGTCCCAAAGGCTCCTTACACTATCCTCATTTTTAAAATTCTTTTTTCTTTTTACTGTTCTGATGGGGTGTTTTTAGCTTTCTCATATTCCAAATTGCTGGTTTGAGTCTCAGTTTCACCTATTCTACTGTTGATTCTCCGTAAATCATTTTTTATTTCAGTTAGTGTACCCTCATTTCTAAATGGTTCTTTTTTATGGTTTTCATGAACTCTTTTATGTTGTTGAAGTTCTCACTAAGTTCATCTACTCTTCCTCTAAATACATTGATCATCTTTATAACCTGTGTTCTGAACCCTGCATCTAGTAGATTGCTTGTCTCTACTTTGTTACATTCTTTTTCTGGAGTTTTGTTCTGTTCTTTCATTTGAAACATGTTTCATTGTCTCTTCAGAAATGCAGAGTATAGATATTAGAAGCACCCTAGATCCTCTGTCCCCACTTATCAGGCCCTACTCTCACCACCATAACAAAGACTTTCTTCTTGTCAAATCTTATGGAGATTTTGCATCCTCACTTCTATGGGCCACTTGGAGGGATCTTTTGTTTTGGCAGTTGACTTCTTCTTAAACTTCTCAGCTCCCTCCCCAAGGGCCACATTCAAAGATCAGATGTTGCCTTTGAAGACCCCTCTTGATTCTATCTCTTCACCCAGCCTCACTTCTTTAGTTGACAATCCTTTCACTTTATTTTCCCCTGGAATTTTATTTGCATGGTCTTATATATTCAAAGGGTTCAAAAGAGCATGTAGTAGAATGTACCTCTGCTCCTCACCCCAGTTACAGGCTCAATCCCCTGTGTGGGGCATGTAGGAGACAGCCATCAATGATTCTCTCTCATCATTGATGTTTCTATCTCTCTCTCCCTTCCTCTCTGAAATAAATTAAAAAATATTTTTTAAAAAGTGTTCACCCAATGCTTCCTGGGGCATCGGGGGTACTCCAGCCCTGGGAAGGTTTCTGCACAGGAAGGATTTGGTGCCAGAAGAGTCTTGGAATCTCACTCTTCTGTCCTCACGAGTAGGGCTCCAAGAAAGCTGTCTGGAGGAAATTGACCCTCAAATTCCACATCTGTCTTGAGGGAAGTAGGTGTTGGTCTTCAGGAGGCAAGAGGCAGGGTTTCCGGGTACAAGAAGAGGGAAGGGTCCACCCTGTTGTGGTCCAGGGGGGAGAAGAGCTCAGCTTTCGCTTCCCCTGCAAAGGCCCAAGGGAGAGAGGGGAATTTCTGTTGAAGGGAGAAGTTTGGGGCAGAAATCCTACATTTCCATCCAGAAAGAGTCTCCAGGTCTTTTACCACCCAGCAGTTGCCCCCACCTCCAGGCTGAGAGTCAGATGGTGTCAAGGAAATGTGAACTATTTATTTGCAGCCCTATTTCGATGCTGCAGTGGCCACAGCTGTGAGGGCTACTGAGGTCTGAACAAGAGGTTTCCGGGCTGGGCTTCAGTCAGAGACTGGTCCCTGGAGGATATTGCAGGAACAGTGTGTGACCTTCAGTCAGTGACACAGCAAAGGGGAGCCTGCCTCTGCCTCCTGTCCCATTCTCCAGTCCAACCCGTGGGTTTCCTGGGCTAACGTTAGCCCACTCCACAACCACCTTCATATCTTGGAGGTAGCCAACGGACACCATCATCCCCTCTCTGGCCACAGGCCCTATAAAAACCTGATGAGAGAACCTGGGGCCAATTCCACCAACTGGGGGACCGAAGGGCCCATAGTTGTGCTCTGAGCATCAGATTTTCCAAGATGTGGGGAACTGGGAATACTTCAGGATAGAAAGAGATTACATGAACCATGACTCCCAATATATGACATTGTCTCTGAATGTGACAAGTAGCGAAGGGTCCCCAGGAAAGAACCCCATGGGCCAACTCTACTGTCTTCCCAGTCCAGCTCTGCCCATTTACTGTGCTCTTGGAGATGGTACCCCCATGCCCTCTGTTACTTTTGTCAGGGCTCTGGGAGTCACTCTAGGTGCCTCCCTCCCCCACCCATCACACCTCCCCTCAAATTTCACTTCCTCAAAGTGTCTTCCACCTCAAATCTTTCCTCCACAACATGCAGATTTGGTTCTCACCTTCTTAAACAACCACGATAGTGTTGATCTCTGGCCTCTTGACCTCCCGCCTTTCCCTTCCACCTCCTTCCCTATCCTGGCCTCAGAGAGACCATGTTGATACCTATATGACCCTGATCCTTTCTTGCTTAAGAATCTTCCAGTTTCCCCATTGCCTTCAGATAAAGCTCTAGCCCATCAGCTGGTCTGTCTTCCCTCACTGCTTGAACTAGTTGAAGGTCAGGACTGATTTAATCGTTTTTGTGAATTTGCAAAGGCGTGAATGAAGGAAATGAGTGGTGGTGTGTGGTGTTTTTGTTGCCTCCTCTAGACCCTTTTCTGCCACTGGTGCCCATATAGGCTATCCCGAGACCCATCCCTAGCAGGCCACCTCCATGAGAGTCCCAAGGCCATGACTGTCAGAGAGCTGGCCAAGTGGGACCAGCTTCTCCAGTACAGATGATGGCCCGTGGACCCAGGACACGGGGGCTCTCGTCCGCCCTTGCTATCTTACTTGGACAAGCCTTTCGCTTCCTCTGAGCCTCAGGGTTCATTTGCCACAGGCAGAAACAGGGCAGGACGATCTCAAAGAGTCAATCATAGCGGACTCTCTGAATCTGAGGCTTGTGACCTTTGGTTCTCACCACAGGTTTCCTGTCGGAGCTTTCTCTGCCCTCCCTCATCTGCATCTTTCCACTCTCTCGCAGAGGGACCCGGACCGAGTAGACAGACTGTGCCAGGGCATGAGGAAGAGATGTTGCTGAGGCTGCTGTTGCTGCTACTGCCCGTGCTGTGGGGAGGTGAGTGGGCCGAGGGGAAAGGGCAGCCCACTCGGGGGAGGCCCTGGAGCTCCAGGCTGAGTTTTTCTCTCTCCCTAGGAGCCCTGGCTAAGGATTCAGGCTACAGACTGAAACTAAAGGGGTCTGTGACAGTGCAGGAGAGTCTGTGTGTCTCTGTGCCATGCAAGTTTTCCTACTCCAGGATGTTCCCTAAATACCTGCACCAGCATTGGTTCAAGAAAGTAGGAAATGAAAAGCTTGGTATTCTGGTGGCCACAAACAATCCAGAAGAGAAGCTACAAGAGAGGATCCAGGGCCGGTTCTTGATTCCCATGGACCCCGAGTCCGATGACTGCTCCCTGACCATCAGAGATGTCAACACGAGGGACAGTGGGACGTACTTCTTTCATGTAAAATATGGACTCTATGAACATACATATGAAGACCAAATGCTCTCTCTGAAAGTGACAGGTATGGTAGGGGCCCAAAGGAAGACCCCCAGGTGTCAGGTACCAGAAATGGAAAAATGAAGGCCCCTGGGGTTGGGGTGGGGACAGCCATGACAAAACCCTGGGGCAGGCTGACATGCCGAGGGGTCTCACCACCTCTCTCTTCACTCCAGCCCTGACTGACAAACCTGACATCCAGATCCCAGGGCCCCTGGAGTCCGGCCGCCCCAAGAAACTGAACTGCTATGTGCCCTGGGCCTGTGAGGAGGGCACGCCCCCCATCTTCTCCTGGACATCAGCTGCTTACACCTCCCTGGACCCCAGGTCTCATCATCTCTCCTCCGTGCTCACTCTCACCCCACGGCCCCAGGACCACGGCACCAACCTCACCTGTCAGGTGTATTTTCCTGCCACTGGTGTGAGTGTGGAGAGAACCATCCGGCTCAATGTGGCCTGTGAGTTCTGGGGCAGGATCCCGGGTCCCTAAGGGGTTGTGGCCAGGACAGAGCTGGGCCAGGGCTTAAAATCAGGGTCCTGATAGTCCACCAGGAAGGGAACCCCCTCTCCTGGTTCCATGGCTGCTGGGGAAAGGCCCAGTGCCCACCCATGGATGTCCTTCTGTCCCAGATGCTCCACAGAACATGGCCATCTGCGTCTTTCAAGGGAACAGCACAGGTAGGAAGGGGCCTCTGCCCTCAGGGCTGGGATGGGTGATTTCAGAGCTACAATGGGCCGGGGACAACGTGGGATATATAGGGGAGGCCAGCTACTGAGGACAGACGGAAGGCTCCTCCCCACACCTCAACTCTCTAAATCTCTTGCTCACCCACAGCTTTCTGTGGCCAAATAAAAAGGAAGCTTGCATCCCTCTTGCTTCACCCTCCTCTCTGAAGTTTTGCCTCCTCCTGCTGCCTCTTTGGCCCATGCCTGCGTTTGTTTTTCATATTCCATGTCCTCTGTCCTCCATCTGTGAGGCAGCCTGGGCGACTTTAGGCCCCTTTGGAAGGGCTGAGGGCAGGGGGTGTTGGTCCTCTCCTCAGAGCTAGTGTGCACATAGCAAGGAGGAGAGACCCCAGCTCTGTCCTCTCTCTCTCTCCCCCCCCCTCTCTCTCTCTCTCTCTCTCAGCCCTCAAGATTCTGCAAAACACTTCCTTTTCCTTCCTGGAGGGAGAGGCCCTGCGGCTGCTCTGTGAGGCTGACAGCAACCCCCCTGCCGAGCTGAGCTGGTTCCGGGAATCCCCAGGCCTGAACGACACCCCCATCTCCAGCACCGCGATCCTGGAGCTGCCTCGCGTGGGGCCTGCACAGGAAGGAGAGTTCACCTGCCAAGCTCGGCACCCGCTGGGCTCCCACAGGGTCTCTCTCAGCCTCTCTCTGGGCTGTGAGTGGGGAGACCCCGGGGGGCAGGACAGCTGGGTTCTGGGGAGATTAGAGGCACTGCTGACCCTTCTCCTCACTCCTCACAGACCCCCCGCAGCTGCTGGGACCCTCCTGCTCCTGGGGGGACCAGGGTCTGCACTGCAGCTGCTCCTCCAGGGCCCAGCCGGCCCCCTCCCTGCGCTGGCGGCTGGGGGCGGGGCTGCTGGAGGGGAACCATGGCAACGCCTCCCACGTGGTCACCTCCAGCTCAGAGGGGCCCTGGACAAATAGCTCCCTGAGCCTCAAGGAGGGGCTCAGTGAGGGACTCAGACTCAGCTGTGAGGCCCGGAATGTGCACGGGGCCCAGAGCGCCTCTGTCCTGCTGCTGCCAGGTCAGGGCCTGCTGGGGGCAGAGGCCACGGAGGGAGGAGTGGGTCAGAGAGAGGGTGGGGCTGGGGGTGGGGGGTTGTGTGGGGACAGGGGTGATTGCTAGGACAGGGGCTCCATCTCCTGCCTGAACAGAACCTACAGCGGGTTCTGGGAGGAGGTTGGAAGAGGAGAGACTGAGTCCTGGGAGTGGGTGGTGTCACCTGAGCTGGTGCTGGGGGAACAAGCCCTGAGCCCCTCCAGCCCTCAGCACCAGGGCTCCTGGAGCTGCCCCATGTGGGGCTGGAGGCCGAGGGGAGTTCACCTGCTGGGCTCAGCACCCACTGGGCTCCCAGCACGTCTCCTTCAGCCTCTCTGTGCAGAATGAGTTTCAGGACAGGTGTGGGGGCCGGCCGCCTGGTCAGGTGTTGGGCTGTGGGTGGACTGACACCTGGACAACACGTCACCCTTCTCCCGTCATCCCCAGGCAGCCCGCACTCCAGCAGATGTGTGACCGAGGAGCAGCAGGGCTCCTGGCCCCTGGTCCTCACCCTGATCAGAGGGGCCCTCATGGGGGCTGGCTTCCTCCTCACCTACGTCCTCACCTGGCTCTACTACACCAGGTGAGCGGGCCTGTCTCTCCCGGGGAAGGTCAGGGATTGGCCCTGAGGGGCAGGTGGGGCCGAGCTGTCCGGCTCTGCCTGGAGTTAGAGCGAAAGTGGCCGAGTCTCTGAGCTGACACCTGTGTGTGCCCCGCAGGTGTGGAGGCCCCCGGAACAGGAGGCAGAGCTCCTGATGGATCCTCCCTTCCTCTCAAGATGGACTGAGGTGTGGGTACCAGGCGAGATGGACCGTCCTGGGACGTCAACGTCACCTTCTCCCTGGAAGCTCTTGACTCACCTGCCTCCAATGTGCCCCTGGGGTTTCAGTGTGTGGAAGTGACTGAGTGATCACAAGGGGACTCAATGCCATGGAGAGAAGACTTTTCCTCCTTTCACCTCCTGAGAGGAGGGGCCGCTGTGCCCGGGAAGCCCCGGATTTCCTCAGGAAGCAGATGCAGGTGCAGGGCAGCCTAGCGAAGGCCTTGATTGGGGTTCCCATGGGAAACGCAAGGCAGGGCAGGGTGAGCAGTTCAGGACCAGCTGGTGTGTGTCAGTCTGGGGGATGGGCCTGTGGGCGTGGTCTCCATGTGTCTGGTCACAGGTCCTGGGTGATTCGGGGCAGGTGGGGAGGCTGGGAATATGGGCTCAGGTTGGGTTGGTTTGCATCTGAAATTCTTTGCTGTCTCTGAGAATGGGCGGGCCCTGGGAGGCCCTGTGTCTCCTTGGCTTCCAATCTGTTTAATGGCTCAAAACATCCTAAGATACAGAAATAAACAAGTAATACACACCCACTGATGGCCCCTGTGTTCTGCCTGTGCTTCTCCCATTTGACTTGTTCCCCTGCCCCTTGTGTCTTTCTCTCTGTTGGTTCTGCCCACTCATCCCCCAACTCCCTGGTCCTCTCTCTCCATTCTCAGGCCCAGAGACGGACTGAAGTTGGCCCCTTATCCTTCCCTTGCCCAGGAGTTACCTGGTCACCACCTGAGCTTCTGGTCTCCCATCTGTAGGTGCTGTTACACAGTAGAGTTAGGAGCACCTCTCCTCTCCCTGTGCATAGACGCCAACCTCAGAATTATTGTCATAACACATCCCAGCATTTAATCATAAATGAGAACGTTTCTGTGATATCACATGACCATTGATTTTACTCTTTCGTGTCTGTCGGAGTTTCTTGAGTCCAATTCCATCTGGATCTCCTCTTGTTGTTGTTGCTGTAGTTGAACCTGTTTCAAGTAAGGAATGTCGTTTATTCCTTGTAATTATTCTTCTATTGGTATTTATATCTCTTCTTATTTTTTAAAAATGTATTTTATTGATTTTTTACAGAGAGGAAGGGAGAGGGATAGAGAGTTAGAAACATCAATCAGCTGCCTCCAGCACAACCCCTACCGGGTACATGCCCTTGACCGGAACCGATCCTTGGACTCTTCAGTCCACAGGCTGACGCTCTAGCCACTGAGCCAAACCAGTTAGGGCTCTCTTCTTATTTCTAAAAATATTTGTATTGATTTCTGAGAGGAATTGGGAGGGAGAGAGAGCGATAGAAATATCAACAATGAGAGAGTCATTGATGGCCTGTTTCCTCCACATCCCCTACTGGGGATGAAGCTGTCACCCAGGCATGTGCCCTGACTGGGAGTCGAACCCTGACCTCTTGGTTCATAGATTGATGCTCAACCTCTCTGCCACACCAGCTCGACTATATCTTTTCTTAAATAATAAAAAATTCAACATTTAAGACACATCAACCCATACTCTCACCATTTTGTATTGTTATTGTATATAGCTTACATCTATAAATTTGATAAATTTTAGAGGACATTAATAATTACTTGGATGTAAATAATTATTTTATTTCCAGATTAACTGAGATATTTTTGATATAGAATGCATGCAAGTTTAAGGTATGCAATGTGCATATTTGATGCACCTACATAGTGAAGTGATTACCACAATAAGTTTCATCAACACTTCCATCCTCTCATGTAATTACCATTGTTATGGTTATAACACGAATGATGTGTAACCATAACAACTTTCAGGTATGTAATACAATCCTGTTAATTGTACTTGCCATGCTGTCCAGTACATCCCCAAGAATTGTTCATCTTGTAGCTGAAAGTTACCCTTGACCAACATCTCCCCATTTCCCCACCCCCAGCCCCTGCATCACCGTCTACTCTCTTTCTGTGAGTTCAGCGTCTTTAGACCCCACTGTGAGAACACACTGCAGGAAAACAATGACTATTTTGAAAAACACCCCTCACAGTTGTTCCTCTCATGCAGTTCTGGGTTTCCATCACAGAATCATTCTCCTCTCTGCAAAAATGTATTAAAGACCTAAATATAATACCAACCACTATAAACTCTCAGAGGGAAACATAGGGGGAAATCCCAGCACATTGGATTTTGCAATGATTTCCTGCATATTTACATCGAAAGCACAGACAAGGGAAGCAAACAGAGACAAGTGGGACTGTACCAACTTCAAAACCTGAAGCACAAAAGGACACTTTCACCAGACTCCAGACTCCAGGATGGGAGAGAAGATGTATCTGGTAAGGAGTTAATATCCAGCATCTATTACAAACTCACACAAGACAACATAAGAAACCCAAAGAACACAACTGAAGAATGAGCTAAACCTTGACTAGACATTTCTCCAAAGATGATTACAAATGGCCAATAAAGTCATGAAAAGTGACTCAACATCAGCAATCCTACAGAACTATGAAAGATCTCCTCAGGCCTGTAGGGGTTTTGCTTGGTGCATCAGGGCATTAATATTCAAAACCCCACATCAGATTCCCACAGGGACAAGGAAGTTATGGGGAAGGCGCATAATAGGCCCACGGTACAGAAAGTGATAGGGGAAGTGTAGTGATAAGCAGCTCCAAAGGTCACACACCCGAAACTAGCATTAGAAATTTTATGTCATGTGAGTCTCACCTCCACAAAAGTTTCTCATTAGTTTATTTGTAAATCGCGTGCGCGCACACACACACACACGTGCACACACATGCATATACACATACAGAGTTCTCTCTCTGGCATGAATTCTGTGGCCTCTCTTGAATGTGAAAATAGTTGCTTCCTTCCCCCAGTTCTTTCGTGTGGGTTGCTTTAGGATGGGCCTTGTGCTCTGAGGTGCGTAGGCCTGGCCCCTTCTCTGTCCCTGAGGCCCATCTTACCTGGCACAGCTTATGGGGAAATTTCCTCTTCTGCATTTCTGTCTATACCTTCTGGCTTGGAGAGAGAGACAGACAGAGAGAGAGAGAGAGAGAGAGAGAGAGAGAAAGATAAATCGGTTGCCTCCCATACTTGCTCTGAGCTGGTATGGAAACGAGGTATGTGCCCTGATCTGGAATTAAACCTGCAACCAATGTGCTGTAGGGAGGATGCTTCCACCAACAGAGCCATCCGGCCAGGGCTATCTATTTCCACCTGTAAAGTCCTCCCAAACAGATGTATCATTTCCTCCTTTGAGGTAGCGCATAGTGTATTTTTGTGATGTGCATCTCTGAATGTTCCAGGAACATCGTAAGTTTTGATGTGTCCATGACATCTTTATACCATGCTGTTTTTTGGTAGTCACTGTACTATACGGATGCATTTGAGTTTTGCAATGTGATTTTGTCTCTAGAAACCTTGCTGACTCTCTTCTCAAGCCCCTACATGTATCTGTATGTACGTGTGGATTTTCCTATATAGACACAATCCTTGATAGGGAAAGGCAGCTTTATTTTCTTTGGAATTTCCATAGCTTTTACTTATTGTTCTTGCGCTGGCTGCTGGGAGCGGGTAACCATTGCAACGGAGGAAGGCTCCCTCAGACCATCAGACCACCAAACCATCAGACCGCCCCCCACACACACCCCCACATACTGCTTGTGCTTCCGGAGGAGGGAGAAGAGCAGACTCGACTGACCAGTGCTGCTGCGTTAGGTGTGGAGCTTGCTGAGCTCACCCTCTATCCCACCAGGGGAGCCTCCTGGATCCCTAGCTGACTGTGATGTTATCCTGAAGGCCTTTGACATCCCCCCGCGCTCACTGGTTCCTCCCTTGAGATTCCATCAGTCAAGGGCAGTGAGGCACACAGAAGCCCCACTATGTGCTCCAGCAGCGGGAATGGAATGTCAGGGTTTGTGATGCCCGGGTTGGGACACAGATGGAGCAGAAAGGGATCCCTTCCCATCAGCCTGGGTGGGGTTCTGAGAAGGGACCCAGCGATGAGGGGCCAGGAAGGTGGATTTTCATGAACTTTCAGGTGGCAGCGCTGCTGCTGTGCTGAGGTCCCGCCAAATGGGGCGTCCGTTTCCGATGGGGCTTGTGCACCTCGCTGTCCCTCAGACACTCAGACCCTCGAGCCAACACAGGTGCGTCCCACGTCCCCAAGAAGAGCTCAGAGCAAAGGCCTTTACCACTCAGCTTTGCCCCTGGGTGCCACCCTCCACTGGACTTGGGTCTAAATTCCTCTCTCTTTTGCCAGCACTTGGTCTAAAAAAATATTAAAATGATCTTTTTCCAGAATGTTCGACAGTTCCAGCTGGAGGGCGGGTCCCCCCGAGTCCCCAGGACCAGCTCTGAGTGTGCTGGGCCCTGGGCGACCTCCCTCCCCACTTACACATCCTCTGTAAGGGGGTCACTTTATGCACAAGCCACTCAGCCTCCCAGGGCCTCAGGACATTTGCCTGCGGAGTCATGGAGGGGGGGTGGGGGAGGGGAGACAGAAATATTTCTCAGGCACCACCTCCAACTCCAGTGGAGGCCAAGTTCCCCTTCCAGCCTGGCCCCCAGTCTCTCCCCCAGGGCTTCCTGTTGGGGTGTCCTAGGCCCCACCCCAGAGCTGGGCACTTCGCTCCCTGACACAGGGACCTGGACCCGCTCTGCCTGCCAGAGGCAGACATGGTGCCCCTGCTGCTGCTGCCTCTGCTGTGGGGGGGTGAGTGGCTGAGGCAGGGGGGCTGGGCAGGTGGGGGAGGGGCGAGGGCTGCATCTGAGCCTCTGTCTCCCATCCCTAGGGTCCCTGGAGCAGCAGCATCCAGGCTATGAGATCGAAGTGCAGGAATCGGTGACGGTGCAGGAGGGTCTGTGTGTCCACGTGCCCTGCTCCTTCTCCTACCCGTGGAGTTCGTGGTCTTCCTCTAGTGAACTCTACACCTACTGGTACCGGGACGGGGCCAACACAAACTATTCTGCTCCTGTGGTCTCGACCAAGTGGAATAAACCAGTGAGGAGAGAGACCCAAGGCCGCTTCCTCCTCGCGGACCCCACGACCAACAACTGTTCCCTGGACATCAGAGATGCCAGGGGGAGTGACAGAGGACGCTACTTCTTCCGAGTGGAGAGAGGGAATTCTGTGAAATATAATTATGTAATGAAGAAGCTGCATTTGATGGTGACAGGTACAGCAGGGGCCTGGGAGAGGACCCAGGGACATGGGACCCCGTCTTAGAGCAGGAACAGGACACTGGGTCACTCACTGTCCAGGCCGTGGGCCTTGGGTGGTGGGAAGGGACACAGGGCCTGGGTGAGCTCAGCCCGAGGCAGGGCCTCTCTCAGGGTCCCGCTCTGAGTCCCCACCCCTGGAGCCCAGGCACCTGCCTTTCTCCCCTGCAGCCCTGACAGAGAAACCCCACATCCGTGTACGGGAGCCTCTGGAGTCCGGCCGCCCCACACGGCTGGCCTGCAGCCTGCCAGGGGCCTGCGAAGGGGGACGACCTCTCACCTTCTCCTGGACGGGAGCCGCTGTGGACTCGCTGGACCCCAAGAACCGCAGCTCCTCAGTGCTCACCTTCACCCCGAGGCCCCGGGACCATGGCACCAGCCTCACCTGTCAGGTGAAACGGGAAGGATCCCAGTGGACCACACAGACAACCATCCGGCTCAATGTCTCCTGTGAGTGTTGGAGGGGTGGCTGGGTCTGTGGGGGGCAGTGGGAGCGACGTGTGTGTGTGTGTGTGTGTGTGTGTGTGCAGGAGGCTGAGCTAACCTGAGAACACCCAGCATGGATCTGCGTGTAGGTGGGGAGTGTTCCCACTGCCCCTTCTTGGGGTTGGAGTTACTTCCATCTGAAGGGGGGCCCTGTCTTTCTATCCCAGATGCCCCTCAGAACCTCACCATAGGCGTCTCCTTCAGAAACGACCCAGGTAGGAAAGAACCCCTCCTCTCTGGGCTGGGACCTGCCCCGGGGCCCTGGTGGGGCAGCGGGGGGGGAGGGGGGAGCAGGAGTTTGAATGCGATGAGACATGGGAAGGGCAAGGATGAAAGGCATCACCCCAGTCCCTCAACTCTAGTAGGTGGGTGCCTGCATCTGTGTTCCACCCACCTCTCTCTCTCTCTCTCTCTCTCTCTCTCTCTCTCATAATCATTCTCCCCAAAGTCTTTAAGAATCTGCAAACCACATCCCTTTCCATCCTGGAGGGAGAGGCGCTGAGGCTGCGCTGTGAGGCTGACAGCAACCCCCCTGCCGAGCTGAGCTGGTTCTGGGGGTCCCCAGGCCTGAACGCCACCCCCCTCTCCAGCACCGCGATCCTGGAGCTGCCTCGCGTGGGGCCTGCACAGGAAGGAGAGTTCACCTGCCAAGCTCGGCACCCGCTGGGCTCCCACAGTGTCTCTCTCATCCTCTCCGTGGTCTGTGAGTGGGGAGACGCCCCGGGGGACAGGACAGCTGGGTTCTGAGGAGATTAGAGGCACCGCTGACCCTTCTCCTCGCCCCCCACAGACCCCCCGCAGCTGCTGGGACCCTCGTGCTCCTGGGAGGACCAGGGTCTGCACTGCAGCTGCTCCTCCAGGGCCCAGCCGGCCCCCTCCCTGCGCTGGCGGCTGGGGGCGGGGCTGCTGGAGGGAAACCATGGCAACGTCTCCCACGCTGTCACCTCCAGCTCAGAGGGGCCCTGGACCAACAGCTCCCTGA